GGCAGGAAGCATGGCCTTATATGGTGTTTTTGGGGTGGTAATTATGCTAATCTCCTCTCGCGTGCATGAGCAGCTGGATAAATTACGCAGCTCATTTGCGCACTTTTCCTGAAGATAGAAGAGTTTGTTGAATCTGACGTGACATGTTCGTACGAACCCTTTGTACGAACAAAAGTAAGAGAAATTTAGGAGAAGAATACGAACATGTTCTTGCATGAGGCCCAATGAACTTCCCCACTGAGGGAGAATAAAGGTTAACAATTAGTCTGTTTTAATTTTTAATGAACTGTTTTTATTACTGAGCAACAAAACTTCAAAATTCTCTAATTCAGTGTAATAATGTGAAAAACTCTTTAATAACTGTTGAATGCTTTTATCTGAATTTAAACACTAAACATCAAAGAAAAATTAAAGATGCAAAAAATAAGCTGTTTAATTTTTATTTACAAATCCACACATATATCGCACTAAATCTAACATAATAATGAAAAACCCATTTTAAATCTAGTTTAAAGATTTATTTTCATTAATTCTCCTGCAAGGTCACATCATAATTTAAACGTCCCAAGAGAAAAAACATGACGGACGTAAACGTTAAAGAACAGAAGCTTCAGTCTTGTTTGAACAGTAACACAAATGTTTTTATGCCATCTTTGGAGCAAAGCTGCAACATATTTTTCACCTGCTGACTGTCCCAGCAGTCTGATTGAAACAGCTGTATTTTCATACAAGATGTCAAATCCGTTAAGTTTACAAACTTCACATCTGAGAAGTACCCCTTAAAACTCACTAAGAGCTCTCTGCTCCCCACAGGTTTGTCTTTATGGCACAGCACTTTAACAAAATGTTTCTCTTCCTCTCAAAGGGATTACCCCAAATCGCTAAGACAGTGCTTGCAGGAGCGTGGCCTGTCAGTGGAAATGCTCTACCTTCAAGTGGAATCGGGCCTGACCCGGGCTCTGCAAGATGTTCGAGCAGATGGCTCCCCTTTATGTATACTGGTGGAGCAGAAAAACATAGCTCTGTCCTCGTGCACTGTTATCATTTTCTCAGAATCCCTAAAAAGTAAGTTTGAACCCCTCATATTTTTCTAGCTTGCCCAATTCACCCTGAACTTGGTTCCAAGGTGTAATGCACTTTCCTAAACACACAAAATCACACATGTTGTAAAGCTGAACAAAAATATTCCCAATGAACATTCACAAAGCTACATTTTTCTACTAAAAATGGCCATGTTTAACTAATAATTTTTTTCCCACTTAAATTTCTTCCAAAAAGCATAAAATAGTAGTTGTTTTAAATCCAAGTGGACATTGGTAGTCTCAAGATAAAATGTCTTCTGGCTTCTTCTTGGACACTTAATGCACAACCCAGACACACATGTAAAGTAAAACAACAACTCCTTACAGTTTGTTGTACATTAACATTAAACCATGTTTTTTTTGATCATAGCTTATTTTGTTCTGTAAGAAAGTTTTTTCATCTGACACTTGGTTGTGAGACAGCTGAGCATGACCAAGCCCCGTTTCCCTTTCTTCTGATTTAAAAAGCCTAGAGCATCATTGGCATTTGGTGAAATAGTGACAGATTTAAGAGTTTATATTTAAATTAAGAGAAAAGGTATTTTATTTTTTTATAAAGGGAATACATTCCTTTGACTTCTTGATCATACAACATAACTGAGGACCAGAGTAACATGGTCCCTGTATCTGGCCATAAAACAAAGATTTATCTTCAGACTCACACTTGCTGAGCACTGCAAGCTTTGCTAGCAAAGAAACTTGAATTTAAATAGTTTTTCCAGTAAAAAATCTTTTATTGTAACTAAAACCATTGAAATCAAGTTTGATGTTTACCATTTGGTTTGATTGTTCATCACTTAAACATTAAGTTACAGGGTGGTCTACTTCTAGAGTAAAACCTGGATGTTTATAACATGTAAAGCATTCATTACTGGTTTAGTGACAGCCATCATCTGTTGTGCTCTCTTCCACATGCTTTAATAATTTAAACAAAAAAACAACAGATTTGTGAGGTTCTTTGCTATCACAGCTGTAGACCTGTGAAACTCTTCATTTGAAGGGATCTGCATCTCAACCCTTCACCTACTCTAAACAACATCCAAAGAACTGATTCTCCCATTCCAACCCCAAGCCTGTGAAATGTAGGGCTGTCTGATAAAAAGGCCAACTCACCGTAATGTGACTCATTTCATATAAAGAGCAGGCTTTCTCTCAGCTCTTTCTGTAAATTACATCTAATTTAATTATTGTAATAATTACATTTAACTATTTTAAAGCCCCATGAGTAAACAAAACTGCATAATACACAAATTAAAAACACAATTCAAAAACCAAACAAAACACACGTTTGAAGAATTTCCTAAATGCAATCAAATGTTTTATTTTTGATTAAACCTGTCCATGAAGCAATGGTTACATTAAACACATGGTTTAATTTTTTTAGAAGACATGTTTATTTGCACAACTTGATGCATTTCATGGATCCTGTACATCACAAAAACATTTAAAGATTATATTCTGCACAAAGCTGCACGTCTGTCCACATTCTAACAAATCTAAACTCAGACGAAGTCTCACGGTTGCTGTCAGATTGTAAGGGGGAAAATAGTTGCATATTTCACCTCGTATTCTTTCAGTTCATTCTCCTCCCATTTAAGCACTAAAGTTAACCCTTTGCCTCCCACCTTCAGTCCATCGCAACATGCCTAAAGACCAGGCACTGGATTTTGTTCAAGCTGAGTACAACCGTGGACTGGTCAAAGAGTCTCCTTCCAAGGATCCAGCAGATATCGCAGCGGAGGCTTCCCAGCTGCTGGATGACTTCTTGGATCGGGAAAAGATTGCGCGACACAGTGTTCCGTCAGAAACACGGCATCTCCTCATGCTGTTAGCTGAGGGGGTTCATCTGTACTCAGAGGAGCTGGAAACCATCTCAGAGTATGTCAGGTCCCGGCAGGACCACCTACAAGGTGAAACACTAGCTGATGGTACCCTTCACTGCTGTGGAAAATGACTCCAGCTTTAGCTTCTTGTGCAGTCCTTTCATGGCTGGTTTGTTTGTTTGTTTGTTTGTTTGAAGCTGTAGCTTTGGATACTGAGGAAGACAAGGGGGATATGTTACCCCCAGGATTAGGAAAACCACCTCCACTACTCCCTACTCCACCTGGACCTGCACCACTGCAGTCTGCATCTTTTGTAGGAGGGTCCTTACTGGACCACTCCCCACCCACACCTGCACCACTCCTGCCTACACCAGGTAGGGGCTGTAAACAGCATCAACCACTCCTGCTTCAAAAGGTTTCTAACACACTGGGTCCTGCTCAAAGCTTTAAACATGTATCTGTGGTATGGATGCAAAGTTAAACCTTTCAGACATTTGGGTTTGAATTGTAATCAAGTGCATGTCTTTATTTTTTCAATCATTTCCTCCTGAATCAATTTAATCTAAATAAATTTGGTTTGAATTTATGTTTGGGAGGGGGTTTTCTTTATGCTTTAATTTGATATTAGTTTTCCTCTCTAGTTTAACAAATATTTCATACAATAAACATAATATGTTGTATATTTAGGGAGGGTGTGCTCCAATTACAGGGGGGTCACACTCTTAAGCCTCCCTGGTAAGGTCTATTCAGGGGTCCTGGAGAGGAGGGTCCGTCGGATAGTCGAACCTCGGATTCAGGAAGAGCAGTGTGGTTTTCGTCCTGGTTGTGGAACAGTGGACCAGCTCTACACCCTCAGCAGGGTCCTGGAGGGTGCATGGGAGTTCGCCCAACCTGTCTACATGTGTTTTGTGGACTTGGAGAAGGCGTTCGACCGTGTCCCAAGGGGGGCCTTGTGGGGGGTTCTCTGGGAGTATAGGGTACCGGGCCATTTAATACGGGCTGTCAGGTCCTTGTACGACCGGTGTCAGAGTCTGGTTCGCATTGCTGGCAGTAAGTCGGGCTCGTTTCCGGTGAGAGTTGGACTCCGCCAAGGCTGCCCTTTGTCACCGATTCTGTTCATTACTTTCATGGACAGAATTTCTAGGTGCAGCCGAGGTGTTGAGGGGATCCGTTTTGGTGGCCTTAGGATCACATCTCTGCTTTCCTGTTGGCTTCATCGGAACGAGATCTGAAGCTCTCGCTGGAGTGGTTCGCGGCCGGGATGAGGCTCAGTGCCTCCAAATCCGAGGCCATGGTCTTGAGCCGGAAAAGGGYAGAGTGCCTTCTTCGGGTCAGGGGGGTCGCCCTGTCTCAAGTGGAGGAGTTTAAGTATCTGGGGATCTTGTTCACGAATGGGGGAAGAACGGAGCGGGAGATCGACAGGCGGATTGGCGCAGCGTCTGCTGTAAAGCGGGCGCTGTACCGGTCCGTCGTGGTGAAGAGAGAGCTGAGTCAGAAAGCAAAGCTCTCGATTTACCGGTCGATCTACGTTCCTACCCTCATCTATGGTCATGAGCTTTGGGTCATGACCGAAAGAACGAGGTCCCGGATACAAGCGGCCGAAATGGGTTTCCTCCGCAGGGTTGCTGGGCTCTCCCTTAGAGATAGGGTGAGAAGCTCAGTCATCCAGGAGGGACTCAAAGTAGAGCCGCTGCTCCTCCACGTCGAGAGGAGCCAGTTGAGGTGGCTCGGGCATCTGGTAAGGATGCCTCCTGGACGCCTCCCTGGTGAGGTGTTCTGGACACGTCCCACCGGGAGGAGGCCCCGAGGAAGACCCAGGACACGCTGGAGGGACTATGTCTCTCGGCTGGCCTGGGAACACCTTGGAGTTCCCCCGGAGGAGCTGGAAGAAGTGGCTGGGGAGAGGGAGGTCTGGGCCTCCCTTCTGAAGCTGCTGCCCCCACGACCCGACCCCGGATAGGTGGAAGAAAATGGATGGATGGATGGATGGATGGATGGATGGATGTTGTATATTTACACAAAAAGCAGCCACAACATTAAAACTACCTGCATTGAATTTTGTAGACCTTTAGTGAACTGGTTTTTTTCAGGAACATTCTGTGCTTCTCCAGTTCTTTGGGTTTGCTGCATAGGCCTCTTGGATGAGTCCTTTTTTGTCTTTTCTCTTAAATCTGTAGTTTTTTGTCTTTACTCTTAAATCTGTAGTTTTTTGTTTTCAGTCTTAAATCTGTAGTTTTTTGTCTTTACTCTTAAATCTGTAGTTTTTTGTCTTCAGTCTGCGTGTTTCTAATGTCGTGGTTGTGTTCTGGTATAAATGCAAACATGTTTTTCTCTACAGGTAATTTTACAAGCTGCCGTTCTTTTCCTGTTGTCCTGATTTTCTCTGCAGGTACTTTTCCCAAATCCAAACCTCCTCCTCTGCTGTCGTTGCACCAGCTTCCTCCACTGGGGTCCCCAATCCCTCGAGGACCCCGCCCCGGTTTGTTTCGAGGGCCTCTCCTCCACCATGGTCCTCTACTCCACAGAGGTCCCTACAGGGACAGACTGGCTCCTCCTTCCTTGAAGAGTTCTCGTGCTCCACTTCTTTCTGCTCCAGGTGGATCAGCTCGTTTTTTGTCTCGTAGTTCTTGTTTGGTGTTAAGCAGTGTTAGAAGTGGGAAAGAAAAGGGTCAGTAGCCCCCCTGCCCCTTCAGTTAGGACCACCTCACTGAGCAGTGCTCTGTGTTGTGACATTCAGCAACATTTCTCAGAAGTTGTATTTGAAGTGTTGCTGCTCATTTTTGTCTACTAATGCTATAAACACAGGGTTGGTTTGAAACTCCCTCCCCACAGAGACATTAGGTTTTTGTAGCAGCTCTTTCTGTACGCTTTGTTGTTTATTTGTTCCACCATTTTTTACATCAAAAGTTTTAAAACCCACAGATGGGTTTTTAAGCTTGAGAAATATCCAAGGATATAGGACTCTAGGGCTGCAACAATGAATCAATGAAATCGATAAAAATCGATTATTAAAAGCGTTGGCAATGAATTTTCATTATCCATTTGTTGTGTCGCGCGATTTCTGCAACTGTCACCACGTCGCAGAGCGGTTTACGTCACCCGCAGAGCATTGTCAATGCTGGCTGAGCTAAATAAAGTTTAGGAAGAAAAAACTCTACCTGTAAAGCTCTGCCCTCTCTGACTCTCGAGTGAAAAGTAGAGACTTCAAACTTTGAACCTGTTTTTAAATTGTGTTGTTAGGACAAGTAAGATCTGAAGTTATGATTAGAGCTGGGTGGTATGACCCAAATTTTATATCACGGTAATTTTCCCTCACAACTCAGCTGATAATAAACTGTTCAAACTTTGCATATTGACGTTTTTCTCTTACTGGACCTCCGTCTGTGTCTCTGTTTCCCCCTCTTGTACATCTTTTCTTCTTTGACTGGTTGTAGACTAGGGCTGCCACAAACCATTATTTTTATAATCAATTAATCACCGATTATTTTTTGATTAGTTGTCTAATCAGATCAAACGTTAATTGAATATAAAACATAGAGCTCATCACACCAGAATGCAGCTGCTATTATATAACCATGGTTAGATTTTAGCTATATGCTAACTAAAAATAATTGCTGTGGAAGGTAAGTTCTGCTCTGCAGATAGGTTTCTCTTTCATTCTCTTAAAATGATCCCACACTTTTGAGCTCTTTTGTCAGGTAGCCATGATACCAGAGCCTGTC